TTCGTTTACTACTTATGTCAACCTCTTGTCTTTGACATTTTCCAAACCTTCAAATAGATATTTGAGCATATCCCATATCTTCTTTGTAGTTTACATAGTTTGATCTGTTCAAGGAGAGATAGAGGGATACCAATGACCCTTTTGGAAAACACAATGTCATCTGCATGCATCTTTTATCGTCCATTAGGGTTTGAGGTGCACGATGAACCTTTTCTTGACCCATGAGATTAGCAGAAGCATCTCTTACAACTTGTCTTGCATGAAAGTGAGGTCCTTTAGTGATTGATGTCCAAAGTTTTAGCACCTTTATCTTTTGTTTTCAAAAATCTCTTCATTCTCTTTTTACAATGATCGTATTCTTTAACCACCAGTAATGGGGTTCTCGTAGGGGAAACCACACTGTTGGCGATTTGCATCGAGTATAGTGGTTGATTTGGATTAAGAGTAGCCATTGTTATATTGTTTTGAGAACAAGTGGTATATAAAAGAGCTTTTATCATGATACAAAAGTGATTGTGAAACCAAGGTATTCTCAATCACTTATCTGATTTTAAAAATTTAGAGGACAACCACTCAAGCTCTGATACCAATTAAAAGAACAAAGGATATCACGAGGATATATCTTGGATAAATTTTAATAACATAAACCTTAAGCGAAAAAAATACAATGGAGGTATTTAATTATTTTTAGTCAAGTATGGATTATATCTAGTCAAGCCTTGAAGAACAACCTGGTATTCAATGCAACAATAAAATGACAAATATAAATAAACCATATATGGAAAGATAACTTTTTAAAGAGAATAATAGATGAGATTATTTAATTAATAAAAGGTGTATATGATACAAGGTTTTACACTCCTATTTATAGCACTAAGAGCAACATAATACAAATAGACAAAGGTATATAGTGTAGGCTAGAGATCAACAACCTAATATTTTTACATGACATCACTGTTGATCTTGCCCCTTACATGTAGTGCATAAGAGAAACAAAATAATCCAAAATATTACTTGTCTACATTTATATGACATTCTCTCTTTGGAATTACAATCTTCTCAGGAAACTAAACGACTTCGGGTGGATATGCGCCTCAGAAACACTCATTCCTCAGATAGCATGAGAATCACTTTTCATGAACTAACTATAAACAATATTCACTTTGATATATTGTTCTTACGACTACATGATATCAAATGTCATAGGAAAAATAATTTAATGAGACTAAATGTTAAATAATAGCCACATATAAAATTAATTAATGTTTCAATAGAATGCTTACAGTTATGTTTTAATTGATTAATGAGCTCTATATGACAATCATTAGTCATTTGGTAAAGTTTTAGTGTGTCTAAATGATGGCATATGTTACAGATAAAAACACTTCATGTCGCTAAATATAAAACATTAGTCACATGACATGAAGAACAATATGTGTGCTGAAAATGAAAAAAAAATGCAGGGTAACAAAAATTAATGTCGCAAGAATAGTCATACCTAAAGAATGAACATTAAGGGACTACAACACAATTACCAACCATAGTTTACATATAATATACATGTGTATATTATAACGAACAATCACATGTAGCAATATTTGTGTGTCTATATGATAACATATACCACATTAACAAATGTCAGTTGCATGAATAGTCATAACATAAAAATGCATGTGTGTTTAGAAAATGTTTATAGAAACAGTTAGTTGATGTAATGCTTGATTACAATAATAACATATGTACCACATTTACATAATTCAGTGTGACAAAAAACTCAATAAACAATCTTTTCTATGACTTAATAATAGCAAAGACCATATTAACAATAAACTTAAGTGATCATTTTATGAGCAATAGTCACAATAAAAAACCACTTGTGTGTCTACATATTGTTTACGGCACACTTATTTCACACAATGCTTGAGTACACCAACACTTTTGCCATATTTTTCTTAAATCGATGTGACTAAATACTAATAGTAAATATTTTCTATAACTAAATAATAGCTACAGGCAAACTAACAATAAACTTGTGTGACAGTTGGATAAGCAACAGTCACAGTCAAAAAAAGGATTGTGTGCCAACAAATTATTTATAGCCACACTTATTCGAAACAATGCTTGATTAAAACAACAATTTTGCCAAGTTTTTCTTACATTAATGTGACGAAAAAGCTCAATAAATAATGTTTTATGTAACTAAATAATAGCTACAACCATACTAATAATAAACTCATGTGGAAGTTGTACTAGCATGCAGTAACCACAATCAAAAAATGTTGGTGTGTCTAGAAAACATTTATAGCGACACTTGACGAAATGAATCCTTGATTACAACAAGAAATGTTGGTGCCCTTTAACCACACTTTTATTATACGATCACACTTTTCTAGTTGCTATAGGTACTAAGTTTTAATGTGGTCGTTTGAGACATAAAAATAAACGACCTTTCGTCTCACTTGAACTGAAAAATAGTGTGTGGCTAACGAAATATGCTCAAACTTTTATGGTGTGATCATTGGAACTTTTTGTACTGGTGTAATTAATATATATGAAAATATATTTGGATGAGGCTAACAACGTATCCCCCCCCCCCCCCCCCCCCCCCCCTCTAAAAAATATAATAAGAAGAAAATAAAATAAAATAAAGGTCCAGGTTCAAACCCTGGCATTACGTTTTCCGTATTACCGATGGATTTCCACTAGTATTTTTTCGATAAATACTACAAAAATCGCAGTGTTTACACTAAAATTTAAATCCGTAACTGTTTTTTTCCTCAAATTTCACACTTGTTTTTCAATCTGTTATAATTTTGACTATTTAATAGATCAACCCAGTTGCTTGCTGATGTGAAATGATGATGCGTCCGGTTTGATTACATGATATGCTAACGTGTCAAAATTAAAAAAATGTTTAAAAAAAATACTAAATCTTCTTTTTTTTTTTTTTTTTTCAATTTTAACATGAAGCTTTTTTTGGCACTCAAATTGTTTTGTTCCTATTTGATCATCATTTTTTTTACATATTTGTTCAGTTTTGATAACGTGGCATTCCATTTTTTTTTGTTCCAAATCGAACATCAGATTTTTTCTTCCATGTTAAACAATATACTTTTCTTTCAATTAAAAACGATATTTTTTTTTATAAGTGCAATGTTTTTTTACATACAAATAATAATGTTATGTATAAACATGTGTAATTATATTATAACCATATTTTCATGTACTATTTGGTTATGTAGCAATGACGTGACATGATCTAGAAGTAACCCGAAACCATATTTGGATTAATCTGATAAAACTTAATTTGGATTTCATGCAAATTCTAAAATTCAGAAACATAGAACACTTTGTTTTGTTTAATTTTCTTAGAGAGAAGATTTTTACGTAGTAACGTTAACTAAAGAAGAAGTATATCTACAAGAACAAAAAATCATGAACATATACAACAAACGGTTTTTTGGTAATTAACGAGAGTTCTAGGCCCTTGTGTTCCCGATATCAAATTAGTATCTCATTTTTATAGGGACATGGTATTTTTAGATGGAGTATTTCGGTCGGTATTTTCTGTAAGTTTTTTTTTTTCATTTTTGCGAAAAACAGGGTTGTTTATATATATATATATATATATATATATATATATATATATATATATATATATATATATATATATATATATATAGGTTCAGGTTCATTTGAGACCATTCTAATTTTGTGAGACCGTGAGATCAAATCTAAAAATAATTTTAAAATGCAAAATAAATGGAAAATCCAAAAATTCTTTTTTTAAATATTATTTTCGGAACTTGAATTAACTAAAAAAATAAAAAATAAATAAATAAATAATTAAAAAAAATCCCGTTTTTTTTTTTTGAAAAATACGTGAAATATATTCTAAATAAAATATTACACTGACATATTCTAAAAAATAATTTTAAAATGCAACATAAATGGAAAAATCTAAAAATTCTTTTTTTAAATATAATTTTCGGAACTTGAATTAACTAAAAAAAATAAAAAAAAATCTTTTTTTTTTTGAAAAATACGTGAAATATTCTAAATAGAATATTATACTGTACATATTCTAAAAATAATTTTAAAATGCAAAATAAATGGAAAAATCAAAAAAAAAAAATTAATATTATTTTCAGAACTTGAATTAGCTAAAAAAAATGCGTCTCACGGTCTTACAAAATTAGGCTGTCTCACATGAACCTAACCCTATATATATATATATATATATATATATATATATATATATATATATATATATATATATATATATATATATTCTTCTTTTATATATTTTTATTTCCGATTTATATATAATACTTCTTTTTTATAAATATTTTATTAAATTTATATATAGACATTAATAATTTATACCTAAAAAATTTCTTTTACCTTCCGTCAATATATTAAATTTATTAAAATTATCTATAATAAATAGTTATATGAATGTTATTAGAAATAGACATAAAATAAATAAGTATATAAATTTTATATATAATTTGTCATATCAATAATAATGTCTATAAAAACAATTTCAAAATAATTGAACACAATATTAAAACTGCAAATTCTAAAATATACAAGGACCATTTATGTAATTTAAACACCCATACATATATGATTGAAGAGGGGGCCATAACCCCATTTTTCCAAACCAATTTCAAAAAGCTCCATTTTCAAAAACATTTTTGAAAAGAGCCCTTTTTAAAAAGAAACTCTATTTCGCTTTCGAGGAGTGTATATTGCTTTAAAATATTATAGATATGAAAGTGATGTTTTCATAATATATGCATAGGACGTTTGCCACTAACAATTTGCGAAGTGACATATATTTATATTGAAAATGCAAAGAAAATAATATAATTAATTAACCATTCCAAACAGTATTGAGAGCGAAAAGAACGAAATTTAATACAAAAGTTAATAAGTGGAAGTGCTTATATCGTCTATAAATAATCCATGTTTTAAACCTGTAATTAACGTGAAAGCACTTTCAATCCTTAACACACTTGATGCAAATATGACAAACCCTACTCATCATTTAGTTAAAAAAACAACAAATCTTTTCCAAATTCCATGCAGGCGTTCAGACTCTAGTTGCACACGTAAAAACTTATCGTCTTCGTTTTTTCAAGCCATCGACTTTCCAAACCCGTTCTGGGTTCAACTTATATATTTTGTCACACTTTCTTTAGTGGGGTTTGTGGCTTTGAAAACCCTAGAGTTCAAAACCTCTTCGTTTACACCTAAAAACATCGACTTGTTCTTCACAGCCGTTTCTGCAGCAACAGTTTCAAGTATGTCAACACTTGACATGGAAATATTTTCAAACAGCCAACTCATTGTTTTGATGTTTCTCATGTTCATGGGAGGCGAAGTTTTCGTTTCTATGCTTGGCCTACAGTTTCGAATGTTCAAACATAAAATTGTCAATGCTGGTTCTAATTCAAATTCTCGTCCCACCTTCAATTCCCTTGAGGGCAGTATTGAGTTGGGTGTAATCTCAAATGATTTAAAACCATTTTCAAGTGAATCTCTTGATCAAAAGTTTTTGATGTACGAAGCAAATAGAAGCGTGGGCTATGTGGTCTTGTGCTACATCCTTGTTATCCACTTCATAGGTTTTATCATGGTTTACATTAATTTAACATTCAATACTGGTACTAAAATACTACTCATAAACAAAGGGTTAAATAGGCACACTTTTAGCCTTTTCGTCACTGTCTCAACATTTTCAAATTGTGGTTTCGTTCCCACAAATGAAAACATGATGGTTTTTAAGAAAAACTCTGGCTTGCTCTTGATCCTAATCCCTCAGATTCTTCTTGGAAGCACTTTATATCCAGTGGTGCTTCGGGTAATAATATCCGTTCTCCATAAGATTACAAAGAGGGTAGAATTGAGTTATATGTTGAAGTACCCCTTGGAGTTTAGTTATGGCCAAATGTTACCATGGGTGCAATCGTTTTACTTAGCCGTGACCGTTTTTGGGTTGATTTTAGTTCAGTTTGTGGCCTTTTGTTTTATGGAGTGGCATAATACGGAGGTCATGTTTGGGCTTACTGATTATGAGAAGCTGGTTGCATCTTTTTTCCAGGTTGTGAATACCAGATATGCTGGTGAGGCTGTTTATGACCTTTCAAAGATTTCGCCGGCAATCTTGGTGGGCTTTGTACTTATGATGTAAGACTATACTTCCTTCTTTTTGGTTTTGTGAATAGATGCCCCCATGCAACATATATATATATATATATATATATATATATATATATATATATATATATATATATATAAAAGCTTGGGTACCCAAACATACTATAATATATTGTTTTGTTTAATATATTCATTATAGTGTTCTTAAACTTCAACCCTCAACTTGATTTACTTTCAAGATTTTCGAAATTTCACTATTATCTTTCTCTTACATCATATCTTTTTGCCGAACACCTACTAGGCTATATATATTGTAGTTGAAAATGACAATTATGTAAGAGAAGATATATGTGTAATTTATAAAAATCATTGAAGTAAATTAAGTTAGAAGTTAAATTTTAAGAACATTGGAACAATTGGAATGTATTATATGATATAAAACAACGTAATATAGTGAGTTTAGGTACGTAAGCTTATATACCCTTAAGGATATATTCACTTTTCTCATATATATATATATATATATATATATATATATATATATATATATATATATATAATATATATATATATTATATATATATATATATATATATAAAAGATAAATACACAGAGATGATTAATAAGTCAATAATTCAACTTATACTAATAAAAAAAAAACTATTGATATGTTTTAAATAATTCTGATGAAGATCAATGTGTAAAAATAAACATTTTAAAAGTAATCTTTGGAAATAAATACAATAAAATCATGAAATAATGGGTAATTAAATCCACACTAATAATAACACTATTGACACATTTAGCATTATAAAATTAACGAAAAAAATTAGCATGCACATAAAAATAAGCATGAAAACATAAAAATAATTATGTCAAAACGTAGACATATTCGAATTTATATCGAATCATATATAAAATAACAAGTCAAAACATTGATCACCTTGAATTTATAGCAACGATACATTAATAAAAACAAGCACATAAAAAATAGTTCTTTTTTTTTCTAAGTCAATGAGCAAAAATTATTATATGTAACTCCACTCATATGTAGGAAATGTAAGTAAAATTAAGCATAAAAACGCAAAAAAAAAAACACATTGAAACGTAGAAAACTCAAATATAAAACATTTTTTTAAATTAATGAACGAAAGTTATTATAAGGACCTAAATATTATTAAAAACTTGTCTCTTATTCACTCTTCGCATCCTCTTTAGTTTCCAGCAGTTTTAGTACCGCTACGTGTGACGAATATAAAATGAGTGAGTCATGTTGGGAAAGATGGTTAGATACACACGGTTTTCAAGCCGATAATATTTTTAATCATATATAATCATATACAATAATCTTGCAAAGCAAACTTTACCAGAAAATATAGAAAATTAATCCAATGTAGATATATATAAAACCATATACATGTTTATACCCAATCGCTTCACTTCCGCATAGCACTTCTGACAACTTTGAAAAGCTAGCATTCTTTCTTGGATGATTTTCACTTTATCAGCAGTTAGTTGAAAGATTTCAAGACCCGCAAAGTGTTTTTCTCCAACTTGTATCCAACAAGATGGCATAAGACACTATCTCTCGCACAATGCTTCGTAAGGAGACATCTTGATGCTTGAGTGATAACTATTGTTGTAGGCGAATTCTACTAGTCGTAGGTGATCATCCCCAGTTAGCAGCAAATTCTAAAGTGTATATCCGCAACATATCTTCCTATGTTTGGATAGTTCTTTCACTCTATCTGTCCGTTTGTGGATGGTAGATAGTACTTAAACAAGTTTCATACTCATTTCTTCGTTCATACTCTTCCAGAATCTGGAAATGAGTCGACTATCTCTGTCTTATACAATAGATAAGGCTACACCATGTATCTTGACAATCTCTTTCATATAGGTTTTTTTCCAAATTTTCCATAGACCTAGTTTCTCGTACGGATAAGAAGTCCGCGCTCTTCATCATCCGGTTTACAATAACCCAGATCATGTCGTCGCCTTTTACCGTCATTGCAACTTGGTTATAAAATCAATGGTAATGTCATCCCAATTACCCATGGGTACTGGTAAATTTTCCAGGTCCCCATATGGCTTCTGATATCGTGCTTTACTCTTAAACAAGTTACGCTTTCAACTATGTAAGTTGCAACATCGATCTTCATTGTTGGCCAATAGCAATAGGGTTTCAGGTCCAAACACATCTTGGTGCTGCTGGGTGTATAGAATATCTTGTTTTGTGAAACTCTTCCATGAGAAGATCCCGCATTTCACTCATCTTTGACACCCAAATACAATTTTTTTAATACCTTTAACCCTTGATTTTCCTCTTTGAACAATAAAGTCTTACCCGGACTTTTTTATTTATTTTTATGTTCTCATAAAGCTCTTATTTGAGCTTCATTGATATTTTATATAATCATTTAAGTGACTTCAATCGTTAACGCTCTCAATCTTTTTTTCTCTGAATTTACTTTTCTACTCAAGGCATCAGCTATGATATTTGCTTTATTGGGATGGCAAAGTATTTCACAAATATAATCCTTGAGTAGTTCCAACAATCACTTATGCCTCATGTTAAATTCATTCTGAGTAAAGTTATATTAAAGAATTGTATGATTTGTGAACAATTTTCATTTGGTTCTATAAATATAGTGCCTCCAGTTCATCAAGGCGAGAACCACCACTACAAGCTCTAGATCGTGTGTTGGATAGTTTTCTTCGTGAAACTTCAATTGGGTTGAGGCATAAGCCACCACCTTGTCTCTTTGGGTATGAACACATCCTAATCCAACTCCAAAAACATCACTTAATACTGTAAAGCCATTACTTCCTTTTAGTAGAACAAGGATTGGTGCTTCACATAATCATTTCATTAGTTCACTAAAAACTAGTTTTGCTTTTCGCTCTAAGTGTATCTAATCACTTTTTACGTAAAGACTATATGTGGAGCAGCAATAGAATAAAAATATTTGATGAATCTCCAGTAATAACCAGCCAATCCCAGAAAACTATGTACATCTGTGGGACTCTGTGGTGTCTCCCATTTCATAACAGATTTGATCTTTGTTAGGTTGACAATTATAACCTTCTAGCTTACCACATGACCCAAAAGTTGTGTCTCACAAATCCAAAAATCACAGTTGGAGAACTTTGTGTAAAGCTTCTCCTTCTTCAAGACCTCCAATACCTCTCGAAGGTGTTTACCATGATCTTCATTGTTCTTTAAGTAAATCAAGATGTCATCAATGAGTACTATTACTGATTTATCAAGAAAAAGGTTTGAAAACTTGATGCATCAAATCCATGAATGTTGCTAGAGCATTTGTTAGTCCAAATGACATAACAAGGAATCCATAATGACGATATCTTGTTCTAAGTGTTGTCTTTGTGAGCATCTTGCTCTCTTACCTTTAATAGATGATAGGTTAACTACAACCAATTTTGGAGAAGAAAGTTGCTCATTGCAGTTGATCTACCAAGGCATCTATTCTGGGTAATGTGTATCGATTCTTTATCATACACTTGTTTAGCTCGGAATAATCAATACACATTCTCATCGTACTATCTTTATTCTTTTACAAATAGTACTGGAGCTCCACTGGGTGATGAACTAGGTCTGATAAAACCTTTTGTTTAATAACTATTATAGTGGGATCATTAACTCCTTCATCTTTGTAAGTGCTAAACGGTACGATGCTTTCGCAATCAGCGTCATACCTGGTAGCTAGTAAGTCAATTATGAACTCTACATGTCTTTCTGGTGGTAATTTAGGTAGATCATCTGGAAATACTTCCGGGAAATCACATACATTTCTAATTGTTTAGAGTTATTTTCTACTATGTTGTTTATTATCTCTCTCTCTCTCTCTCTCTCTCTATATATATATATATATATAATATATATATATATATATATATATATATATATATATATATATATATTATATATATATATATATATATATATATATATATATATATATATATATAGGGGACAGTTTACTTGAGATTAAAAAAAATAGAGATCTTGAGATTTAATCTCAGCCACATATTTCATATTTGTCACTCTAATGCTCCAGCGTACCAGCAACAACGATGTATGCCTAATAATAAATAATTATATGGCAGAGATGTATAATCATACAGGATTATACATATTTATACGTATATGCATAATTATAAATGATTATACATATATGTCTTTTCACAGTTGAGTAATCATAAATGATTATTACAGTTAGTTGCAAAAGAGGTGGTGGTAACAAGGTGGCGGTGGTATAAGTAATGGAGGTGACAATGGTGGGGTCGACTGGTATCAGAAGTGGTGGTAGTGGTGGTGGCAATGGCGGTGACGGTTGTGGGGATGGTGGCGGAGGAGAAAGGAACGGGTGGCACTATGTAATTATTTATGATTACACCAGACCTGCCGTGTCGGTACGTCGAAAGATTAGAGCGGCAGATGTAAAATACGTGGTTGAGGTTGAATCTCGAGATCTCTATTTTATTTTTAATCTCAACGGAACCTACCTCTCTCTCTTTATATATATATATATATATGATTTTTTGAACGCCGAGGCGAGTTAGTTGTTTTGAAATTAGTTTCACAATGTTAATAAAGATCACTAAGATCCGGATTAATATCCAGCGCCACAAATATAAAAGAAAAAATCTCTACCAAATAGACTACTCCGATTGACAAAAACATTCATTCTCCGTTATCTGAATCACTTTTTTGGCCACTAATCCAACAGTTTTTTAATTTTTAAATGTAATATAACAAATTCAATATATAACAAATTCAATATATATAGTTTAGTCGCGTGATGTAAAGTGCAAATATTGTACACGATTACAGATAAATAGTACAACTTTTATTATGCTTTTAGTTTTAAAAGTTATTTGCAAATATATAATATAATTTTACCAAAGATTTAATTAAACATATGCAACTCATTCTGCCAATAATTAGTGCTTTATTTCTTTTTGTTAGCTAAAAGTGCGATACTTGATTGTAAATATTTACAGGTACCTTCCTCCATTGACCACATATCTTCCGGTCAAAGATGATGAAAAGAACCAAATAAGAGACCAAAACAAGAGTGTTGTGGACTATCTTCTATTTGGGAAACTTACTTATTTGACCATATTTACAATTTTGGTTTGTTTGTTTGAGCGTAAAAAGATGGGCACCGACCCCTTAAACTTCAATGTACTTAACATCGTTTTTGAGCTGGTTAGGTGAGCTTCTCTATTTAAACCTAAAATCATCCATAATTGCTTTTTATATTTGTCGATCTTTGACCGTCTATCGATCAAGTCACCTCATGCATTAGGCACCCCATGGTTTTAAAATCCTTAGGTTATATATATATATATATATATATATATATATATATATATATATATATATATATATATATATATATATATATATATATATATATATATATATATATATATATATATATATATATCAAAAACAATATTCATTATAAAAGACCAACGAAACTATTATTTTAAGAAAACTCTAACATGGGTTATTATATTATCTGTTGATTATAGTGCATATGGAAATGTTGGATTATCAATGTGCTACAGTTGTCAACGACAAATTAAACGAGAGGGAAATTGCAGAGAAGAATGGTATGGATTTGTAGGAAGCTGGACCAACAATGGGAAATATTTGCTTATGTTGGTGATGGTTTTTGGAAGACTAAAGAATTTCAATAAGAATGGTGGTCGCTTTTGGAATGTATTGTAATATATCTATATAATTAAGTGTTGAAGTATGAAATATTCTATGGTGATGACTAATAGCTACGTTATAATATTTCTTTCATAGTTTGTAGTGGGTTTTTTTTTTCTCTCTCTCTTATATATAGATATGCAATGGTCATTAGTTTGTGTGTACCTCTAAATATAGCTCCTCTAGTTAGAGAGAGTAGATGGGAATATCTCACATGCCAAGATTATTTCATCCACATATTGTATACTTGTTCTCTCTATGAAATATTAGATTACTTATGTTTTTCCACTGCAACAATCGGACCCTGTGGAGATGATAATTTCAGACCCTATGGAGACGACAAGTTGTCGGCATAGGGTATGGCAACGACAAGTCGTCGGGAAAGAGTCGTCGGCACAGGTGTGTCGGCATAGGTCTATTAGGTCGTCGGCATAAACGTCGTCGGTATAGCTAGCTCTAGCTCTATTGAAATACATTAACTAGGTACCATTGTTTAAATTCAAAACATCAAATTCAAGTTTAATATTACAATAAGTAGTTAGCTAACATTGTTCATAATACTAAAAAAACATCAATCATCGTTATCATAATCTTCTTCTCCTTCTTCTTCTTCTTCTTCTTCTTCTTCTTCCATCATTTTGGCAAATTGTTGAAAGCTACTTGCTTGTGTGTTATAGTTGAATAGAAAGTTATGAAATGGTGGTGGTTGGAAGTTCGGAATACAAGCCACCAATGATGCATTATATTGTTGCAAATATTCTTGCATTTGTTGTGCATTGAATTGGGATAGAGATTGGGGTTGAGATTGAGACGATTTGCAAGTGGAAGGCCGTTCATTTGAAATTAAACCGAAGTTGGCGGTGGTCTCCTACCCACCCCGCGAGCATATCCACGTCTCGTCTCAAGGGCACGTTCTAAACATTCTTCCTCATTTACTTCTCCTCCTTCCCCAACCTCGTTTTGCATTTTCTCATATTCATTTTGAATTTTCTCCTAAAATAAAGAAAACAATTAGCATACGTTAATTAAAACAAACAACTAAACTTAAACATTCAAAAAATAATAATACTCTTTAAACAAGAAACTATAATTAATAATAATATATTTAAACAGCATATTCATTTCGTTTATCACTTACCCAGTCTTCTTCTGCTCGACTTGTACACCAACCCGAAACTTCTTTGTAGCGCATTTGTCTCCAACCCTCAATATGTTGCGGCTTGATTTTCATTTGTTCCTATAATAAGTGAAAAAGCAATAAATATATTTGTACAAATGTTAATAACAATTTTAAATAACACTAATGTATTTTATACCTCTAAATAACGTCGTTGAGTATAGGGTCTACATCCGTGAGCACTTGTGTATGGAAGTTTCGACATAGTAACTTTATTTTTTTCCGACGTGCGTCTGTATTCCTCGGTAAAAAACAACAAATCAACCATATCGTTCCAAGCTTGGGCGGTCCAATCATCCGGTGGATGTCTTCTTTCCCTTTCCACATTACGATATCCACCAACTCTTTCAAAATGTTTTTTTATCTAATACTTGCGCTCTCGATAAGCTCTTTGCATATCTGCTTGGATACCCGCTGGAAGGGGTTCCCACAAGTTTGTGCCCCGATACCTATTAATATCAAAATAAGTCTGCAAAAGGAAAAACATATTTCATTAGTAAAAAAATATTTGATAAGTGTAAAATTCAATACATATAAAATATATTATATATTTACCTCTAGCCCGGGATATAAATCATCTTTGTACTTGGTAGGAACACGACGCCAAGTATGATAATGCAATGGTACCATTGATCCTACCAGATTTGAGACCAGTCTAACAAATATTTTCCCGTTGTCCCCTATAAATCGATACGTCCGCCCGGAGATATCAATTCTCAAATCCAAAGGCCTACACTTGTTTTTTTCATACTCATCATATAAATTTAAGTTTCTCCCTTTGCCACGCACATTCACATTTACATTCTTCGCTTGTACTATACTTACATATACAATTGGAAATTTAGAAATTTAAAACTTTAATATATCTAATAATTAAAAATTTCATATAACTTACAAGATTGGCAACCCGATGGTACACCGCGTACAATCCCGTGTGGAGGTCTATCCCCACCGTCTCCTCCGTGTCCCCTCGCGACTTCTGCCATCTGTTTAACAAATATTATAAACATTCAGAAAATATAATAAAAATACAAATAAGCAAAATTTCAAAATTTAACAAATATTATAAGCAATCAGGACATATAATAACAATAACATACCGTCAATCAGATTCATCACTAGAACAATATACATGTACAACATCATCATCACTGTCATAGTTTTCATTATTTATTTCTTCATCTGAAGAGTAAGTATCATCATCATCATTTTCATCGTTAATGAAATCGTCATCGTTTATATTAGGAGCAACATTGCTCCTAGCAACCACACTTGATTCACCAACTTCACCTAAAGTCGTCTGCATAGTTAAGGTGCCTAAGTCGACAACCAAGGTAAAATCAGTTGATTGAGTGTTGTTCACAACATCTATCTCATTCACAACACCGATACTTGGATGACTCCAAAGTTTTCGATGATGAACCTCTTCCACAACTCTCCAGTGATTGTTTTGAGTGGGATCTTGGATATAAAATACTTGTTTAGCTCGTGTGGCTAAGATGTATTGTTGATCATCAAACCACGTTTTACCGACATACCATTCATGACTGGTATCGATAAGAATCATATTATTTATAGTCTTTAAACATCCACTACGTAATAAGGCATTGAGCCATTTACCACGAAAGAGTACAACATATTTGTCATATAAATAATGCAACTCTATGATCTCCTCTAATTGACCATAGAATGGTGTACCATCTTCTCCGAATGTAACAGCACCACTATTTTGAGTAGTGCGTCGGAGATCACGACTATTCCCGACAAATCGGACACCATTTACTATGCATGCAGTGTAGAAATATGCACGCAATGGACCATATGCCAACGCCTTTAATTCGTCAATATAGTCCGTAGGCACATCTTTTTGGAGACAATAAATCTATAAGGAAATATAAGATTGTATGTTTAAGTAATAACTTAGTTTTACATTATAAATATATAACATACTTACCTTTTCTTTGAACCATGAAGGAAATTCCTTTTTGAAATCATTTTGAGGCAATTCTAATTGAATTCACTGAATATGGGACAAAATAATTAGAATAGTTAAAACACTATCGAAAAGGTAGTTAATAGATTAAAAACTTACGATTTGTTGCTTCTCATCTCATCCTCATCGCAATTGTTTAGTACAAACCAATGCAATGATTTTTTGGCCTCGTTACAAAGTTCAGCGATTTTCTTAGCCGACATTGTTCGACATTGTGATGAGAAGACAGAAAATTGCCTTTTTGGAAGGCCGGGATCATCATTTCTATCAGCACGGTTGAATTTAGTTTGCATACCCTCAAGATACATAGAGCGAAATGTCGATACATATTCACACACCTTACGCACGGACAATGCACTTTGTCTTTAGTGTCAACATGTTTCCTAGCAATCTCCATAAAGTTTTTAAGACCTTCCAAGAATTTTGGGGACGTTCGGTGTTTCCAAATCCAACACTTATGGATCGTCATTACTGTTTAATTATAAAAAATTAGATTGTATACATAGTTACAATAAATGTACTTTTATTAGTTTAAATATTTTTATATTTTGTTTACTCTCAATAAACATACTTTTATTAGTTTAAATATTTTTATATTTTCTTTTATGTTGCTATTAGTAACGTTTGTTCTTAATGAAAAACTTTTATTAGTTTAAATATTTTTATATTTTCACGAATCCAACTCATATCGACTGTCATTATTGTTTCATTATTAAAAATAACATTATATACATAGTTAAATTGTATGACTTTTTTTTGAGAAAAAAAAACGGACGGAATATATAGATATTGACAAGTATATAAAGACATATATACCCTGGAAGTAGGAATCGGACGGAATTAATAGAGTATTCACAATGGTAGACTTCTAAACACATTTTATAGCAATATTCTATTATTAGTTTGTTTAAAACATTCTATTTTTCACTTCTCTTTCATATTTATAGTATATATACATTTTATCTTTTTCAATTACAGCATTGTACTTTTAATATTATTTTGTTTTTTTTTTATAACACCATAAACAAGATAAAAAAAACTTTTTATATTACTTTTAATAACAACGTAATTTTATTATTTTGTTTTATGTCATAACTTTCAAATAGAAATGAAAATAAAATACTTTAATTAACAAGATAAAAAAAAAGTATGTTGGTATTTGTCACACCCCCAAACCAAGGATAGCGGAAACGTCCGGGGGTGGAGGACTTCATGTATAGTATCATAACAATAATGACAATAGTGATAAAAGTAAACACAACCAACATATATATAATTGAAAGAGTTACATCATGGTATGAATTACATGTTTCAAAATCAATTACAATATGTTGACAAAAATATGAAACGTTTGACGCCTTAACGTCCCATCCTCAAAATCCACTTGATTTCCTGTTTAGTGATTTCCTGAGAATACAAGTTGTTTGAAAAAGTGTCAACACAATGGTTGGTGAGTTCATAAGTTTTTGTAAACAATTATGAAAAACTTGACTCGTAATTGTACGGTTGTTCCAGAAAATCCGATATTTTCCTTAAAGTGAGTACTGTAGTCTTGTATCCAAAAGACCGAAACGTATGAGTAATCTTCCTTATTTACAGAAAATAATGTGTGTTTAATTCAACATAAACGCGTAAGATATCAATGGTATTTTCGTAAATTATTACGTTTGTTAATACTTTCTGTGAGTTATTATAACCATACTATGACCTAGATGGCCTGAAAACGACGTTCTTCAGACGTCAGAACTATTATGACATTTGTCCCCTCAGACCTACCGGTCTAGCTGTTGCAAGCACCTCAAGTGCAAGTTTGTCAAGCCCAATATAGATCTATATACAACTATCACGCTCTCCCTCCAGGAGACTCTGGTTACAATGCAGGACTTATGATTAATGCGAAGCGAATGTCTCACAAAGTTATTAACGAATTTACACT